GTTTGAAATTGTAAGTCCAGTTTATTATTTGTAACCATTTTTAATAGTAACTTAATTAAGTATTCTATTGTAAATAATATCGTATTTTAGCATTTTATTGTAAATAATATATTTTTAGCATTCTAATTATTTTAAGCTGAGGGCNCCCAAGTTTATCAGTAACTTAAGTTACTGTCACGGGTCACCCTCATTAAATAAAGTCTTTCACTTCACTTTCGAACCTCCAGATAACTCGAACCGAAAGTCGTTTCCCTGTCCTCAGTCAAACACTGTAATTTTACCCCCGAACTCTCCAACTATCCGATTTTTCGAAGCAATTTTTGTTTCCCTTAAAGGTTCGAAAAATCGGGATTTCTATTCACATATGTTAAGCCACCATAGCCTCAAATATTCAGATTTCAAACCATTTAAAGGAGAAGATCACTCCAAAAATCTTCCTTTTTTTAACTTTCGCCTATAGCAAGTAAACGTTCAGCTTTCTCACTCACCGAAGTTCAGCCTCTGAAATGCTTGTTATACTGATGAAATTCGTTCCGAAAGAAGCGAACCGGAAGCCGCCATTTTGAACTGTACTTGGCAGCCAGGCCGTCTTTATGCGACGTCATTCCGTCCGACTCGAATTTGGCGGCAAGGAGGAAAAAATGAAACTGACTTTGCATCCTTTACAAGGCCAGCAAAATGTGCTTTTCCCAAGCGATTATCCACTTCACTACCTTTAGTGTTATCATTTTCGGAGTTTGGAGCATGTTTGGCTCAAAATAATACGGCTCAAGAGCATCCATAACCAAGAGTGGTAGTTAAAAGGCTTGTTGGAAACCATTTGGACCAAATCTCTCGGACTGAATGACATCAAGAAAACGCGGCCTGGCCTGGCTGCTGAGGACTGTTCAAAATGGCGGCAAAGATGTCGAATTTTGTGCTTCTTTGGAGGCGAATTTCGTAAGGGAAAAACTACGCTTAAGAGGCTGAAACTTCGGTGAGTGGCTTAACTTCGTGCGAGGTTTTTATCAACTTTGACAAAAAAATTAACGTTTCTTGGAGTGACCTCCTTTTAAAAAAAGTACTGTTAAAGATTAACACAACACTGAACAGTTAATATATAGAGGATATTACACGGTGGCGAGAAGATATGAATTTTATGTTCGA